TTTTGGGTTAAGTTAACTTAAATTACAGTACTTAAAATCTATTTCTCAGAACCGGCTATGTAAATAATCCATAGTATATTCTATGTACTATGTTCAAACAATATATAAAGTTCCCTAATTCCAAAATTCCTCTAGATGAAGCAATTACTCTTCTTTGTGAAATTCCAAATAATCTTTCATTCAATCAATTTCTTCCTAGTCCTTCATTAAGCGCTATAATTTATCGTACCGATTTCAGTAGATTTTCGAAGCAAATGTTTGCTCTTACGTGTGTAATAATTTTTTTTTCTTTCTAGATAGAACCATACAAGATGAAAAAAAATTATATTACAGATTATTTTCTTGCATTTATGCTTTATTTTATATTCAGTGAGCGCATAATGCGGAGGTTACACTGAAATCTTCAAATAGTTCACCCCCATTTCCGTCCACACCGGTACATTACAGCCTCTACACTACATGAATCTTCAGTCTTGGCTTATTAAATTACTTAAGAACACTTCATGGCACAAAAGTAGGTACAGGACGTAACATGTTCCCAACACCAATCCCCAAGTAGATGAATTCAGTCAAGAGATTTATATCCATTCATATACACCTTAGTAACGTGATGCTTCAATACAGGGGTTAATTAATATTACGTTCTACAGAAATATCCATCCATTGCCCATCTTTCCTCACGTCATATTATTTTTATCTTCCTTTCACACTCTCGGTTTTCATTTATTAATATTATCTCTCTTTGTTTCTTCCTTCTTTCTTATTAATAATACAGATATCCGGTCTGGATGTGGTGCTGGGAGTCGAAAGCCTGGCGTCCAACCAGCAGCAACCATCTCGTCTCACCTGTATACTTGCAATTCTCCGCACTTAGTTCTCAAACACGTTATTAGTTCATCTGCAATCTACGTACATTAAACACGAAATGCAGAGTTAATCGTAGCAGCATCAATTAACGTCGCGGCTACTGGACACAACACTGAAGGCGACAGATGTCGCTTGAAGAACCCGAAGACCCTGGTTAGGGCAACTTGAACGCTGTTCACCCGGCAGGTGCGGTACTCATTCATGAACGCAGGTAATAGCGGGTTAAATCACCTGCTCAACTTTATTAAGTTGGCGCTTCTCATGGCGGGAACACAGCTATAGCATGTTGTACAGTTGCAGTTTTGTAGCTACTTCAATAAATGATTAAGACATCGCCAACAAGCAGAAAAGAACAAGATATTAAGAAGGCGGGTGGAAACACAAGGCGAGAAAAATATTGTTACAGAGGTGAAAATCGAGGATTATTTCTGTTCCGCCAAGTCCTCTGTTACACATCCCACTCTTATTCACGGCAATGTCAGAGGTACAGCCTCCTAGGTAGTAAAGTGGTTTATGTTTCCAGAGAAACGCAAACTGAGCGTGAAGCTGACCACACATCTCCCACGCGACACGTTCGAGAAAGCCTGAAGACTTCATTTTTATGCAAAAGCCAGTTACAAAATAATGTTACGACTTAAATCATATTAACTTTTAAGATTCTGCTGAAACCTGCTCAGTTATCACTACGTACGCATTTAAACCATCTTACTTTCCTTACAAAAATGTGAAATACTTAAAAACTGTTCGCCACCTACCAAAATCAACTTACCTCATATAAGCTACTTTATTGAATGGTTATTAGTTTATGTGACGATGCTATATTAACTGTCGAAGTTACGCAGCGTTCACTGATAGAAGTATTCGTTGATTATGAATTTAAAATAATGTAGAATGAAGTTGTTGTGGCCTGTTCGAAGGGAAAATTCTGGGCTGCCCGATTTCATTTCTTGCGGCTATGAATACGATAATTAAACGTCCTCGGTTTTCTTCGTAATTACCTTCCGCAATGACAGCAAGTAATTATTCCTGTACGAGTAATTAGTCTATTAAAGATTCTATCGACCATTTTCAGGGCGACATATGAAAGCGAGTAAAGTGGCCATCTTAATCACACTTCAGCGATCCATACATATTTATTCTCATTGCATTGACCCCAGTTAAAATTTAATCAAACTGCATCGGTTCTCCATGAGACCAGACCGGATGTGACCTCAGCAAAAAAAAAATTTCGGGGCATGGGATATACAACACGCGCCGGTCTGTGTAGGCTACCCTCGCCTCGCGAATTTACGTGTTATGAATACAGGCAATCCCTGCTCTTACGAATAGGTGAACAGAGTTCTTAAAGCGAAATGACATAAAGCGAGACGCTGTTTCCCACAAGCCCAATGTTACAACTGGAGGTTACGCTCCCGGATTTTGGAAAAATAAAACGAAGCAAGCAATCAGCATTATTGAATATGCTATCGAAACACAAAGAAAACGTAACACAAATACGTCCTGTAAACAATGCTGTTTAAAATTATCCTTGCCTTATTTTTTTCTCTTGTTCAAGATTTCAAGGCACTGAGATGGATGAAAGCGCGTATTACAACAGGACTGAAGGTAATCCGATGGTGATGGGTTTGCGGGGGGGGATCAATTTATATAAATAAATTCCCATTTTCGTACATTTATTTCTATATTAATAATCTTTGCAGATTTTGCTAGTTTCTGCCTGTGAGTTTTTATGAGCACTGGACAGTTCTTATCGACTGAGTTCAAATTTGTGCCACCGGTTCTGATTGTTGACGTGTGCAGACATTCGCTTTTGTATACCAATGAAATCGTGCGTTGTCTTCAGCACAAGTGGGTATGAAAGAGGACGAAGTGCTGTCACAAGACTTTTACTCTCGTGTACACATCACAAAATTAAGCACACATAAGATAACTTCACAGTAAGCCTACAGGATGTAACTTGAACAGCTGATCAATGCGTTCCCTCATGTTGATTACAGACAAGAAAGGGCAAATGCACCTTCTGTGCTGGCACTGAAAATGTGTGCTTCATCTAGCATGGCGCCTGCCTGGATTTTAAGTCCAGGGGCTAGATGACCAAACGACAGCAGCTTTCGACAGCGAACACTAAACTGGTATTATTGTTGGCCATTTATTTCCAAAATTGAAAATATTTTAAAAGGCACAATTTTTTGTGAATATTTAGCGGAGTTACATCCTGAATCATATCCACGTCTTGAAACAAGTACGTACTCGTGTTGTCGAATTTTAAATGCATTAGCAGTTACCAAACAAAGTCATACCGAACTTTATCAAAATCGATCTAATAATTTTGGTGTTGTTTCTTGTGAACACACAGACGGACATAACAAACCTAATAGTTGGATTTCGATTTTATTTTCGTGGTTCCCAGAAGCAGTAACTGGATCTTATTTTCACTTCTAAGGAGTTCTCATCTTTAGACATAGCCTTGTTAATTAATACCAGCCTGGTGTCTAATTCCAATCAACGTGTACCCGGATTTATTCCACTGAACATTCTGTAGTACGGTAATTGTTTCTTTCCTGTGCGCATTTTATGTAGCTCATCGTTCGTTCACCATTTCTGTACCCTGGCTCCTCTGGTCGGTCCAGACGTTCCAACATTCTGTAGTACGGTAATTGTTTCATTCCTGTGCGCATTTTATGTAGTTCACCATTTCTGTACGCTGGCTCCTCTGGTCGGTCCAGACGTTCTCATCTCAGTTTTGTTGCCAGACAACGCCAGTCTCTGACTGTCTCTGCGACAGAGACCAGTGCCATGCCCGAATGAAACAACAGATAACATAATACTTCGTTACTCACCTTCACAAATATACGTAGCACCTTCTTAAACTCGAAAAAACTTATCTTCTTCCGCGTAAAGTCTCATAAATTTTAAATTCACACCATTCAATATATAAAATAAGGAAAGTTTAAGGTTTCTGTTGAATGCACAGTTACATTGGTTTTGTCCTCTGCTCGACGTATACACAAGTGCTACAGTAACGTACAGAGGAAAGCCAAGAACCACTACGAGAGAAGAAAATCCAAACTGAAATGTAGCCACTGTTATTGTACCGTCAACAGCAGACTGCCGCCTGAAGCTCGAGTTGAGACTGGTCATGGATGGTACACGCCTGCTCGCTTGTTTTCGCACTACGCTGTGTTTTGGCAAGCTTGTTTCTTTATCACGTTCCAGGAACCACCAATCACAAGATACGCACCAACTTGTTTGTTATGCTAGGTCTAGCTTCAAGATCACATACACAGAAGCTGTGTGATCAGTGGCGTGCAGCACTGAATTTTGTGTCACAGCACTGACATTCGACTGGTTCCTTAATATGATTAATATGACAATTGAATGAAACACGAACATGACACATACAAAACTGAAGACAGCACTGCGAATAGGAGGATATGGAAAGGCCGTAGAGACAGAACTGGTGAAGAGAGACGGCCGAAGACACCTTCGGGGCGAAGATTACGAAGACCATCGAGAAGCCGCGAAAGGAATTTTGCAGCCAGAGGGCTTCTAGAAATGAGATGCCTAACCTCCTGACAATATTAATCTACCTCTTCTTCATATTGACTGACATACAAAATCTGAGGAGCCATTACAGTCCCAGTTCTGTAGAGCACAGTCTCTAAATTAATTGCAATGATAACAATATTAAGCGAGCAAACCACTCGGCTGCGACATTCTGTGTCTGCCAATTTTGAAGGTTGGATACATTTCTTACAGGAAGGAAAAAGTATAGGCTACGAAAGTAACCCACCTTGGTGACTTACAATTTTTTTTTATTTGCACAAGGAAGGCAACATAGCAGTTCTTTCCGCACACAACAGCTATAACTATTTACGCTGTAAAGTTGTCACTGTTAATGTCACCATCCTCTATTAGACCCCCTTCCATTATTAAACTTACTTTCCTTTAAGTTTCGAGGCATGTTTATTGATTTATTTAAATACTTTATATTAAGCACATATGTGTCACGATCATAATGTTCTTTACTAATACATGATGAACTGAGAAAAATGTGCATGCGATCGTGACGTATTTTAATTACTGTCATAGCCATTAACTAGATTGAAGGATGAGAACGACAAAACGCTTCAATCTGGAAACACTCCGAATCGACAAGAAAGTCGAGTACTTCCCGAATACGAGTGCTAACCATTAATTGTTTCTAGTAGGATTATCAGTTGTGTTCGTTAGCTTATAAACAAATGATTTGCATCTGCAGTAAATAAACATCAACTCCAATCAATTAGACCTATATAAAATAGAAAAACGTAGTATTTTAAAAACTTGAGAATGTCTACCCCTTCCCACTTTTGTGCAATGTTACAGTATTTTAACATAATATCAGCAATGATCCTCAAATGATTATAGAGGCTAAATAATAAATAGGCTATGTCTTCAGTTATCGCAGCTGGGACATGCAGACAATTCAACTAAAAATACCTGAAGTACAAAATACCGACGGTTTGAAAATCACCTGCACTTTATGCCATTTATAAAGAAATCTTCCTCAATTATCACCACTTGGATCTTTTTTTTTAAGTTTCGAGGCACGAAACTCGACTTTGCAGTTGTTTATTAGGTATTGGTGGAAACAAAATGTTATACGTGTTGAAGGCTTATGTAAATACAAGAGTCGTTAATCACTCTTACATTTACTGCTTCAGTGCACGTCATCTAATTTCAGAGCACCAAAATTTAACACAGCCTTAAATGTCTTGTGCTTAAACACAATGCATGTAGACGTGGAAGTAATTTCCCACGCATTCTTTATCTTGTCATTAGATATATGTAGGTAATTTATTCCTAGTTCATTTAACGACACCTTTTAAATGTACGCTTTGTACGTCATCAAATAACTGGATGATTTGTCAATTAAAAATTTGGAAGTATTTCGAAAGAAACAATCGTGATATATCCAAATGCATTAGCTCTTCTGGAGGGACTGATAAAAACCACGAAAATCTTAATCATGATGTATGGTCTCGTTACTAAGATTTAAAACCAGGTCCTCGGAAATAATGAAAAATTCTAAAACTAGGTGGCGACGATTGGTGGAGGCAATTGGTAAACTTCACATTAATGCACAGTTGATGAACAGAACATATTGAAGCTTTGAGCATAGAACACCCTGAGACTTGAGAATGTCTCAAGAGAATCCCAGATGTGTCCAAATTCCTTGAAGTGAGGATGACAAAACATTGTATTACAAGGTTATGCTTTACTTATTTAGGAACGATCGATCAGTCCTAAGGCTGGCTGGCGATTTCAAGTTTCGAGAATTAGTAGTGCTGAAAACCTGCCGGAACGTTTAGAACTTCGAAAGAAATCGCCGGGACGAGTTGAAAACGAGTCGGTGCGTCCGGCCGAGGCTTTGCGCAAAGCCATGCGCCGTGCTGATTCGATAACGTGACAAGCATGAGGAGAATCCAGATACTGGGCAAATCTGAATATAGCATAAACCCTGGGAAACCCCCAAGTAATCCATTTATTGATTCCAGTTCTATCCACAAGAACATTCGGACACAGATCCTGAACAGGTTTCCGCCGAGCGACAGAATGTGATATCGAAAGAATTATGACGGTCAGAAAAAGAATAAGAACTTTTGAATTGTTATGTATGACACAAAAGACAAATATAAAACCCCGGTTCAAACTGATACAAAAATTCTATATTCTGTGACATATATGTTTAATAGGAAACACATATCACACTAAGAACAACTTTTTTTCCTGAAAAGCACTTGCCATACCTATGTTTCGTCTGTATAAAAAGACTAGCAGGAATTATAAATTATGTATGTAACCAGAAAACTTCACATCCTGATTCTGTTCGACAGTGTAAATCCGCTAGACATAATTTCAAAGTTATGTACAATCGACAAACACGAATTTTTAACAAAAAAGCGTTCTTTATACACAACATTTTTAGTTATTGCCATACTTATGATCTATTATCAGTTTTAAAGCAGCCACGGTGGTCTAGCGGTTAGAACGCTGGCCTTGTAATCCTGGGGGTCTCGGGTTCGATTCCCGGCGGTGCCCGAATTTATAACTTGTGTTGGGCAAGGCCGTGGTCTAGGCAACACGGAGTTTTCCTCCGTGGCATCCCAACAATTACTCCATTCACACACAGAAGAAGGCAAGGGCAAACCACTTCTGGATCATCTGCCAAAAACGTATATGAACAGGTCCCAGTCCGAGAAAAGGATGGAAGGATCCTGTTCATATGGACCTGTCGTCAGACAGAACACTAAATAAATAAATAATAAATCAGTTTTAAGTGTTACGTACCTAGCCCGCAGTAGTTTATTAGTTCTCGATGTCAAACTGAAACTTAAATACCAATTTTGCCTAGCCGCTGTGATATTATTTTACACTATATAAATAGCAACTTAATAGAATATGAGTAACTACTGTGTTCCTGATCTTCCAGTACTCAAACTTCAGGACACTGCAGTAAATTCCGGTAGTTTCACTGTCATCTCTGAAGCGCTCACGGCTCTCATGTTGGTATTATTTACACACCCTAAAGGTGAAGTGTTCTCCAATAGCATGGGCTTCATCAGAGCTTCATGAAAACGAGTGACTATTTTATAGGCCTATAATATATACACAAAGTCTAAAAATACTCTTATATAATATTAAAAACAATTCATATTGACATTGTCTACTGTCTAAGGCATCCTGAGAGATCCAAATCAGACGCAACTCTTAAATGAAAGATGTACTTACAGATGCAGGTCAGCAGAAACTTAACAACGTTACAAAGGTATTGGCTGTTTGTAGCTCCTGCAATCAGAGAAAGAAAATTGTCCTTATGAACATCAACCGTGAATAATTCACCCAACTGAAACTTATCTGCACTGAGAAAGTCTTAGAAGTGAATTGGATTGATGTGACTCAGAATAGGGACCTGTGGAGGCTCTTTTGGTCACGGCAATGAAGCTTCAGATTCCGTAAATGCGAGAAATTTATTGACTAAGTGATCAACTATCAGATTCTCAACAAGAACTCAGCTTCACGAGATTTTTTTCGACAAAAGCAAATAGATCTACGTGTCTACGAACCATAAATCATGTATCTCAATCAGCATATCAATTTTTCTAATTTATTATTTATGTATCTGAGTTAGGTATAGGTCAATTTGGTATGTCATAAAAACAAAAAATCATATGAGTCCATATTAGTATTAATAACAGACTGTTCGGATAGATTTTTACGCTGGCCATATTTTGAGAATCGCTGTCGTAGATGGGAAACTTATGCCCTCTTATTCCAGGAGTCTCACTTTCAACTTCCCCGAAAATATCGATTACATGAAGCACAAGTTTAATGTGGATACATAGCAGATTTTCCAAGCGGGAGGAAACATCATGTCTAAGAACTGAATCATTAATATGTTGATATTCTAAAAGCAGCCTTTGCATTAGGCGTAGAAAAAGTTGTCCTACCAGAACTGAAGGTCGGATTTCTGACAGGCTGACTTTTCAAAATCAGAGTTGTCGTGTCAGGAGTCTCCTCAGGCGACGTTAAGATCCGGAATGTCGCTGAGAGATAATATTCTTTTCATAAATGAATTTCTTGCTGGCTCTCTCGAGGTCCAACAGAATCCATTATAAATTCTTCTCCAATCATTTAATGTACCTCTTTTCTTCTTATATCTATGCATTCTGTTTGTAGTAATATCCTTCCATCTACGGCTACGTTTCTCATTGATATTTCCAATCAAAACTTCGTACGTGCGTTCTATATGTCCCGCCCACCCCATTCTACTTTATTTAATTGCCCTATAAATATGAGATTAATAGTTTAAGTTTACACGCTGATACAAATGTGGATTGTATTTGCCTCCATATCATTGTTGCTCTGAATATGGAGGCGTTATGTTCCCCCGAATTGTTGGTAATCAACAAGTCAGAATCCATAATACCACAACAAAGAATTGGGATGAATATTACAAACTGTTAAATACTTCATTATGCATTGCCAGGTCACTAGTTCCCAGATCGCCAGGTCGCCTGGTCGACAAGTCGCCTGATCGCCAGGTAGTCTGGTCAACAGATCGCCAGGTCGCCTGGTAGCTTGGAAGACAGGTCGCCAGAGCTAGGTTCTACAATTTTGGAGCATGGTCACATTTTACACGTGCGTCGGACTGACTGACGCTCCGTGAGCGTCATTATTGTACCGCAAGTCAGTCCGAACCTTTTACGTGACGTGTTTTTGCGTAAGTCTGACTTGAGAAAATGGATGTCCTTAGGTTTCACCCGCACTGGAGACACCGAGTTCGTTGTCCGCTTGAAGTGGTGATAA